GCGAGAGCCACATTGTGGAAACCACCCGTCCACAATCCGTGAAACGCTTGCATTTCTTTTAAAGAGCGTGCGCAGCGCTAGGCCGAGAGCCACATTTTGAAAGCCACCCGCTCCAATCCGTGAAATTGTTGTGTCTGTAAAAATCGAATATGCACGGCGTTGGGGCGAGAGCCACATTTTGAAAACCATCCGCCCTAAAATCCGTGAAGTTCTTGCAAATGTTTAAAACGAATGTGCGCGGCGTTAGGGCGAGATCCACATGTTGCAAACCACTCGCCCACAATCCGTGAAACTCTTGCAAATGTTTGAAACGAATGTACGCGGCGCTCAGGCGAGAGCCACATTTTGAAAACCACCCGTCCACAATCCGTGAAACTTTGCATTTGTTTATCGCGAATGTGCGCGGCGCTGGGGCGAGAGCCACATTTTGAAAACCACCCGCCTTCAATCCGTGAGACCATGGCAAGTGCTTAAAAACGAATGTGCGCGGCGCTCAGGCGAGAGCCACATTTTGAAAACCACCCGTCCACAATCCGTGAAACTCTGCATTTGTTTATCGCGAATGTGCGCGGCGCTGGGGCGAGAGCCACATTTTGAAAACCACCCGCCCTCAATCCGTGAGACCCTGGCAAATGCTTAACGAAAGTGCGTGGCGCTCAGGCGAGAGCCACATTTTCAAAAGGAACCGCACTCAATCCGCGAAATTTCTGCAATGTTTACAAGCGAATGTGCGCGGCGCTGGGGCGAGAGCCACATTTTGAAAACCACCCGCTTCAATCCGTGAAGCTCTTGCAGTTTGTTAGCACGAATGTGCGCGGCGCTTGGGCGAGAGCCACATTTTGAAAACCACCCGCCCTCAATTCGTGAGACCCTGGCAAATGCTTAAAACAAATGTGCGCGGCGCTCAGGCGAGAGCCACATTCTGAAAACCACCCGATCTCAATCCGTGAAACGCTTGCAAATGAGAGAGAGAGAGAGAGCGTGATCCACCGCCGCTTTACTGTGGAAAATTGCCAACCTTTTCCTCCGGAACCCGGGGGTCTCCCCCCCCCCCCCTCCGAAAATCCCCCCCCCCTGCCGGAACCCCTTTCCCCCCCCCCCCCCCTCCCTCCGGCAAAACCCCCCCCTCCCCTAACCCCCCCCCCCCCCCTCCCCCTCGAAAACCGGGGGGGGTCACTACCGATTCGAACCCCCCCCCACCCCCCCCCCCCCCCCCCTCCGGATCCGGAAAACCGGGGGGGGTCACTACCGGTTGGAACCCCCCCCCCCCCCTCGAAAACCGGAGGGGGGTCACTACCGGTTCGACCCCCCTCCCCACGCACCGCCAGCAAACGACTCCCGGTCCCTACCACCGCTCGCATCACATCCCCCACTGTTGTTCCCAGCACCACTGTCCTCACCACCACTGTCCCCACTGGTTCCACCACCGTCCCTATTGTCCCCACCAATGCCCCCACCACTGTCGCACTGTCCCCACTGTTCCCACAACTGTTCCCACCACGGTTCCACTCTCCCCACTGTCTCCACGGACCCAACCACTGCCTATCCCCACTGTCCCCACTGTCCCACTGACTCCTCCGCTGTCCCACTGAGCTGTCCCACTGTTCCCCACCACTGTCCCCACTGTCCCCACCACTGTCCCCACTGTACCTCTGTCCCATTGTCCCACCGCCGTCCTCGCCACCGCCTTTACCAGTGTCCCCACCACCATTGTACCCTCCACTGTCCCAGTGTTTCCACCTCATTCCCACTGTCCCCACACCACTGTCCCCACCACCACCGTTCCCACCACTGTCCACTGTCCCCCCTGTTCCCACCATTGTCCCCACCACTGTCCCCACCACTACCGTCCCCACCACTGTCCCACTGTCCCCCCACTGTCCCCACCACTGTCCCGCTGTCCCCTCACCACTGTCCCCACCAACACCGTCCCCACCACTGTCCGCACCCCCACTCGGTTTTCGAGGGGGGGGGGGGGGGGTTCGAACCGGTAGTGACCCCCCCCCCTTTTCATGATGAGCTGGGGGGGGGGGGGGAGGGGTTCGAACCGGTAGTGACCCCCCCCGGTTTTCCGGAGGGGGAGGGGGGGAGGGGTTCGAACCGGTAGTGACCCCCCCCGGTTTTCCGCCAGCAGCGGTAGAACACGCTCTTTCAAATGTTTAGAACGAATGCGCGCGGCGCTAAGGCGAGAGTTACTTTTTGAACCCCCCCGCCCTCTATATGTGAAACTGTTGCCGCTTTTTAAGCTTCAGAGCTGCTTTTGTACATTGTGAGGACGTCTCAGGCGAAACGCCCGGCCCGCCCTAAAAACTGGCCTCGGGGTGAGACATGGAGAAGTTATTCATAAGGACAAGGAATGGAGGAGGAGGAGGAGGAGGAGGAGGAGGAGGAGGAGGAGGAGGAGGAGGAGGAGGAGGAGGAGGGGGAGGGGGGGGGGGAGGAGGCGGAGAAGGCGGAGGCGGAGGAGGAGGAGGAGGACCTCCCCATCCTCCCTTCTCCCCGTCCTGCCTATGGTAGTGGTGGTGGTGGGAAGTCGGCCCATCAAGTGGAGACCATTAGTCGCGCAGCAGCGTTGGGGGCCGCACCCCAGGCCAGACGCCCTCGGGCCTCGAGGCCTCGAGGATCGAGGCCTCCAGGCCCTCGAGGCTTCGAGGGTCGAGGGTTCGAGGCCTCGAGGGGTTCGAGGCCTCGAGGTGTTCGAGGCCTCGAGGCCTCGAGGGTCGGGGATCGCGGCCTCCAGGCTTCCAGGTCTTCGAGGCCTCGAGGCCTCGAGGCCTCGAGGAGATCGAGGATCCAGGATCGAGGGTCGAGGCCTCCAGGCCTCCAGCCTCCAGGCTTCGAGGCTTCGAGGCTTCGAGGCCTCGAGGCCTCGAGGACCGGTGGCCAGTGCGACGGTCTCGTCCCCGACGCTGCCGTGCTCCTCGTGCGGCCGGCCAGCGGGTCTTCCTCGGGGCGGCCGTGCCGAGCCGCCCTTTCGGCGCCTCCAGCGGCTCCCCCACAGCCCACACAGCGAAGGAGGGAGAGGAGGGGGGAGCGGGCGAGGGGGAGGAGGAGGAGGAGGAGGAGGAGGAGGAGGAGGAGGAGGAGGAGGAGGAGGAGGAGGAGGAGGAGGAGGAGGAGGAGGAGGGAAGTCAGAGGGCGGAGTGGGAGGAGCCGGCGGGATAGGCAGGAGACGAGGAGGATCAGGAGCGGGAGGAGGAGGAGGGGGAGGAGGAGGAGGAGGAGGAGCAGAGGAGCAGGAGGAACGCAGGAGAAGCAGGAAGCGGACGACGACGACGACGACGACGACAATGGCAGAGGAGGAGGGCGCGGAACAAGAACCAGCAGAGGAGAAGGAGGAGGAGGAGGAGGAGGATACCGAGGAGACAGCACGACGCCCCGAAGAGTAAACCTGGTCAAATTGGCGACTTACTCCGTGAGGCGCGTTTACAGGGCAACATTCTCGCTGCACAATGTGCAATATGTTGTTTCGGGCGTTCCGCCGCCAGATTTTGTAAGATGTCACTGCTTGTGTTCTGTTGTCGGGCTCCCGGGGCGCTCCCCTTGGGCCTTCAAGCGCAGGATGGAAGCCAGGACCCGTTCCCAAAAGGAGGCTTCGCCCTCATGCCAGTCTAGGTCGGCCTAGGTTCGCTCGATAACCCCATGCTGGTGAGAATAACCCCCTGGGGGTAATAACATTCGGGGTGCAGGCGGGATATTAATTTTCCCCGGCAAAACTTCGAAACATCGATGGTAACGAATTCGGCAAATCTTCGAAAGTGTGCGTTTCGCCTGAGACATTCTCACCACATGGTAATAAGGATTATTCATGGTGTTCTGCATAAAGTGGAGATCAGAGCTACGGTAAGAACTTTGGAGGGGATAAGAAAGTTCGGCCTCCCCGCCTGCTGTGGCAATTGGACCACATTCAACCCCGTGGATAAAGAAATGCAAAGGTTATAGGGGGGATGCGTTATTATCCAGGGGGTGGGTTTAGTTTACATCAGGGAAATGTAATTCAGCATAGGCGCTGTTATATACGTAGTCGAGAGCCAGCCTCACCCGGCACAACAATCCCGTTTCATCCCGCCGACTCCCGTTGTATTTGGGTTTATTTTGGGCTGAATCTGCGCTAGTCTTGCTGAATGGCCCCTTACTCGGGTTCAATAACCAGTGACCGTTCTCAGAACGACCTCCCAGGAGATGCATCCTAAGATAATATGAGCCCTGGCCAACCGACTGCTGGCGTAGCTCCGATCGGTTGTGTTCGGCCTCGATCACTCGACTAGGTCTTGTTCGAACTGGCTCCGCTCTACTCGGGCGGTGCGGTCGTCTGCGACGCACGCCATTGTCAGGGTGCACGCCTGCATTATTTTGGCATCGCTCGGACGTGTGCATTTTTCCTTCGGCGAGGGCCATCGAGTTGCATCCTTGATCATTTTGCCAAAAAAACGCGCACGAAACCGAAAAAAAGCACAGGAAATGGACGTCCGAGCGATGGCGAGTTAAGGCGATCCCTTCCACCGTGCACTCGCCAGCCGTGCTGCTTTTGTTGCCCGCCCGCGTGACAGGCCCGGCGAGCGACCCGCAGACGCGCGCCGGCGCCGGGAGACGGTGCTGATCCCCCGGGCACGCACAGCGGCTGGACCGATCTCCGTTGCCTGCAGGGAGGGGCCCGCGGCGGCAATGTCACCGCCGGCGGACGTCTGTATCCCCCACAGGGCCATGGCATCTCAGCCTCATCATCCCAGCACTCCACCCCAGTTGTGGACAGGCCCCTCGAACCCCGAAGGAAACCTCCAGTATCTCCGTCCATGGGGGGGAAGTCGGCCAGTAGGGCCCAGGCCACGCCAGTGGGGATAGGGATCGATTCAACGATGCTCATGTGTGCTCGCCTACGCGGGATGCCCCCGCACTTCCATTGACGTGGTCCTAACTTTGCGGCCAGCTCTATCAGTCATGCAGGCGAATGCGGTCGGTCTGCGGCCATTCGAGGGCATCGTCGGGGCAACCATGCGCAGGCATCATGGAGGTGAAGGTCGTCGAGAAGTGTTCGGAGAGCGAGCTGAAGGTCGAAGTTGTCCGCGGCGGCAAGCTGAAGGCGAGCCCGCGCGTCAGCTTTGGCGCGAGCGGCCGTGTGGGTGGCGTGGTGCCGTTGGAGGCGGTGGCGATGGCGGCGGCGGCGGCGACGACGACGACGACGACGACGACCGTGGCGGTGACGGCGGCGGCGACGACGACCGCCTGAGAAGTATGAGAGGATGTCGAGCACGAGGGGGGAGCGGGGAAGGCGGGGCAGGAAGGAGGAGGAGGAGGAGGAGGAGGAGGAGGAGGAGGAGGAGGAAGGGCTGAGGTGGGAGCACGACGAGGGAGATGACTAGGAAGAGAGGGCAGCCTTGGGGCAGCCAGCACGCAGAGCGGAGGGGAGGGGAAGGAGGAGGGAGGACCAGAGGAAAGACTGGATGCATCTACGATGATGCAGTGCAGGGGGGACCCATGCCAAGAGACACCCCGCTTGCCTCCAGGGTGCACTGGGTTTCTTGTGTTTCGAAGGTTTTGCTGCATAAAGCGTGACGTTCCCACCAAAAGATCCATGCACGTCCCTTGGTCTCGGGGTTGGATTTCTTGTGGAAGGTGCCTTGTGGTCGGGCCCTTCTTGCACACCCTGCTGTTCAAACTCCAATTCACTACAAGAATCGCCCCCCTGAACGACAAGCACCCTCTGGGCCTGCCGTGCTGGCGAGAGCTCAGTTTTGAATGCGAGCGATGAGAAGCGTGAAACGGCAAGATCACGAAGTCCAACTAAGTTTTCAGCGGTAGCGCCATTCTGGAAACAAGGCGTCCTGCATCCTTGTAATTGTTGCTAGCGTTTTGGACAAGTGTGCGCGTGCTGAAGCGAGAGCCACCTCCTCCGCCCTGGTAGTTGTTGCAGGGTCTCTCGGGCCAATTTACGCGGCGCCAGGGCGCGAGGTCCCTTATGGAAAAAGTCAAAAAACAGGATTCGCCCCCCCCCCCCCCCCCCCCTCGCCATTCAGGAGGAGAGAAAAAACAAAGACACAAATCATCGTCGAAGCCCAGGAGAAGATGGGCAACTACAGGAAAGGGGGGGCGAAGACGCAAATCACGAAAATAGGAAAACAGATTGTGTGAATCCTTGGACTTGTGGGTATTCCTTTGTGCGTCCCTGGGCCCCTCCGTCCCTCCTTGTCCCCGTGCAGGTTCCAGTTTCAGTGCCCAAGCACACATGAAGCCTCGAGCGAGCCGCCTGGACCGGCCGAACCGACGGCGCGCAGCGGCGCGGCACGCAGGAATCGACCCCGAGGGAGTGCGGGGATGGGGCCGAGGACAAAGCGAGGGCCCGTTTGTCGGACGAGGGGGGGGGACGAAGAGCCCCCTCTTCCCCCAATCGGTGGCAGGAGTCAGTCGAGCGATAGTGATTAGATGTAGTGAGGTGCCTGCTGCTCCTAGAGTGACAGGGCACCCTTGTGGTCTGCGTGGTCTGCGCAGGGTGCAGACGGCGATGTAGATCTCGGCGTTGTGGTGGGTGTGGTTCCTGGCCAGCCCCATGGTGGGAGTGGCTCGTTCGTGCTTCCCTGCCACTCGTCCTGCGCGAGTTCGGAGGCGCGGGAGGCGGCTTCCCAACACCGCCGTCAAGCAACATCGTTGTTAGCGTGGCCTTGGGGATGGGTGGGGGGGGCAGGGGCGGTGGAGCGAAGGAACTCGCCTTCTCCTGCTTCCCCATCCTCCGTCCTGCTCGTCTCGCTCGTGCTCCCCCCCCCTCTCGTCCTCCCCCTATCTCTCCCCCCGCGCGCACGCACGCAGGGGGTACTCAGAAGGAGCAGGAAACTGGCAGGAGGGATGAGGAGAATGATGCAGGAGGGAGACTTGAGGCTCGAGGAGGAGGAAGGGACATGCGGAGGAGGGGGGGATGAATGATGATGGAGGAGGGATGGTCGTGGTGGATGAGGAGGGCTGGCATGATAATATGCAAAGCGACGACGATGCTGCTGACGACGGTGGTGATGGCGATGGTGGCGACGATGGCGATGCTGCATGTAGTGTTGATGGTGATGATGTTGACGGTGACGGTGATGGTGATGATGAGAATGGGGATTGTGATGGTGATGGTAACGGCGATGGTGGTGATGGTGGCCATGATGGTGACTGTGGTGGTGATTCGGTTGATGAGGGTGATTACGATGCTGCGGCGGAGCCAGGAGGGAACGTGAGAGGAGGAGGAGGAGGAGGAGGAGGAGGCGGGAAAAGAGGGGACGCAGGGAGGTCCCCTGCGGAGGCCGGGATGGAGGGCTGCGGGGCCTCCCTCCGACGCGGCGGCCTGCGGCGACGTGCGGCAGGCTAGGAAGGGCGTGAACGTGCCGGACTGCGAGATCGACTGCGCCGCCCTCACGGAGAAGGACGCGGGCGGGGGGCTGGTCAGCATGGGGGCCAGGTGGGATCAGGTCAGGCGTGTCCTTCCACAGGAGGGAGATTCAGAATAGTCAGGGGACGTTCTTTTTTTCACCATGTTTGCCGTCCCTCCCCCTCCCCCCCTCCCTCGGAAAAGGCGCGCCTTGGCCCCGGGCGCCGCGGCGAGCGCGGCGCGGGCTTCGCGGGCGGGGGCGCAGGGAGCGGCAGATGCGGCTGCGAGAGAGAGGGACGTGGAGGAAGAGGAGGAGAGGAGGAGGGGAAGGAGGAAACATGAAGGAGGAAGGATGAGGCACTGGAGATATTAGCCATGAGAGCACAAGCCAGTTGCCCGCGAGCGCTTCTGCAGAGGGAAAGAGGAGTCACGGCGTCACCAACAAGGCCCAGACGCCCCAGGCCCAGAGTCCAGGACCACATCGGCCAACACCATAGCCCATAGCAGCCTGGACAGCCTGGGGTTTGGCTTGAGGTTTGGCGTCGGCGTGCAACAGCCCTGGACTAACGTCCAGGCGGGCGCGCTCACGCTGCAAAGGGGGGAACTCACACTTCCCACCACTGCCGAGGGTTAGAAGCCGACGACTGGCAGGGGTCATCGCCTGGCAGGGGTAATCTTTCCCGAAACGTAGAACTCGTGTTCCTGGAATCGGAGGTCAGGAGGCTCAGGAAACGGAGGAGGAACCCAAGAACGGTCACGGAAGGCCTGAAGCTGCCCGCCCACAACCTTCTTTCGTGCCGCGTTCTGCGCCGCAAGTTGAAGCCGGTCCGCCTCCGCAGCCGCATGCGTATCAAACACCGTATGGTTGCGAGCCCCCGCTTTGGCGAAAGAGTTCGCCCAGGCGTTTCCAAACCACGCTTCGACGGCTGCTCTTCCCTTGTGAGAAGGTCAAGGTGCGCTGGCACCCTCGCGAAGACAGGCGGAGTCCAACTTCGGAGCAGCTCCAATATTATATAGATTTGCCTCCATATGGCAGCTTGGGATCTGGCTGACGCATGCACGGGGAATCATGCAGCCCCCGTACGCACGCCCCCCAGGAGATCAGAGACCCCCAGTCCCAAGGACAAACATCTGAAGCCCCCGCAGCACGACACGTCTCTCTGGCGGCCTACAGTCAGGATAGGGCCATGCAGCGGGCGATGTTCAGCTCTAAGAGGAATCCCACCGTCCCCCATTTGGACCGCCGCCCACCTACATCTCCGAAATTCTTGACGCTTCGCGTATCCCCTCCAGCCCATCCTACACCAGGCACTCGAACGAAGAGCGCCGATGATCGGCAGCTGTTCTCCTCCCCTCTTCCTCCTTCTCCTCCGCCTTCTCCTCCTCCTCCTCCTCCTCCTCCTCTCCTCCTCCTCCCTCTCCTCCTCCTCCTCCTCCTCCTCCTCCTCCTCCTCCTCCTCCTCCTCCTCCTCCTCCTTCCTCCTCCTCCTCCTCCTCCTCCTCCTCCTCCTCCGCCTCTTCCTCCTCCCTGGTGGCGTATTGGAAGTGTCTTCGAACGTTTTGGTGGGCTCTTGGGCCTTGCGGGCGGGCGGGCGGCGCTCCGCCCGCCCGCGCGCAGGGCCCAAGAGGGGGTCCAAGACGTCTCTCGGAGCCATCTTGGAGGAGATCGATCAACGAAGGGGGGTTCCTAAATTTCAGCCCCCCCCTCAGGAGCCACGATCCTCGTGAGGGGTGTCGAATTTTAGCCCTCCCAGGGGTCGATCTTGGACGCTCTGACCGATCGCGGCCCCCCCTGTCCAGGTCAGTGGGGAGGGGGTAGGGGGAGGGGTAAACCCCTCCCCGAAGGGGAAGAAGGAGGGGTGGAAGAGGAAACGCTCTAAACCACCGACGCCCAGAGGGCTGGTGGGATTCAGGCAAGGAGGTGTGCATTCCCGACCCGTCCAAAAAGGCGATATGCCCCACGAGTTGGGATCAGACTCCCAGTCGCCCCACACGGAGGTGGGGAGGTCATCGGGACGACGAGGAAGGGGCCCCGGAGCATTGGGGAGACGCTCGCAGCATCTGAGCAGATGTGACATATCATGACCGAATGCATCGACAGCCGCTTCACTCATACGATCTGCATGTGTTTGTTCAATTCCTGACTCCAGGCCGACAGGCCTCGAGCATCATCCTGTTCCAGCGCATTCGGACGACCACGAATTTTAGCTCGAGGTCGCCGGCCGGTAGCCGTTCGCGCTACCACTACTCTGAGTACCTCAATAGTTTGTGGGCCCCCGGACTACGAGGGCCCCCCGGACTACAAGGGCCCCCCCCCGGACTACAATGGCCCCCCCCCCCGACTACAGGGACCCCCCCCCAGACCACAAGGACCCCCCCCGCCCCCGGACTAACAAGGGTCCCCCCCGCGGACTACATGGACCCCCCCCCTGGGCTACAGCCACCACGCCCAGCACAAGTGCTACGGGATGCCACAGATAGACAAATGCCACTACCCTGAATGACGACTACGACTGCGACGACGACGACGCCGCCGCCGACGACGACGACGACCTGCGGACTACAGGAACCTCCTCCCGGACTACAAGGGCTCCCCCCCGGACTACAAGGGCGCCCCCCCGGACTACAGGAACCTCCCCCCAGACTACAGGGCCCAACCCCCCCGGACTACAGGGGCCCTCCCCGGACTATTGGTCACCCCAGAACTATTGAGGTACTCCGAGCAGGCGGGGTGCGGGCACAGAAGGGACGGCAACCAGCCTCGCCGATGTTTCTTCAGCACCGTCATGCAGCCTTCCGGCCAAAGGTTCCGAAGTCTTCCAGCTATCGGTGCCGACTTGCTCGCCGCAGACGTGCCTCCTAGTACTAGCGGAACTGTTTGCATCCACCTGTGCTGTCCACCTTCTAGACGGTTCTGCTGATGGTAACGTATTCGTCGCCTTTGTCACCGTTGGAACCCTTCTCGCAGAAGCTTGCGCACACCTTTGGGGGCCACATGCAGCAAATAATCAGCCTGCCCATCATCGCTGAGGAACGCAGTGCTGTTCAATATGTTCCAGCCAAAACGTTCCACGCTGAGCCATGTGGCCGTGAGCGGCCCGTGCACATGTTGCCCGCATTGAATATTGGACCTATCCTCCACGGCCGTTTGGCCCGAACCGAGAACGTCGATGCAAGAGGGTTGCACTTTTCAGACGCGTCATTTGCCGCACCGACGTACAGAGAGTCTCTATTGGCGCCCGTTCGGGGTGCATCCGTCGTTGCCGGGCTTGCCTTGCGAATTGTTGTTTCACCTTCGGCTCCGCGGAGTGGCACCTCGATGCGTTCGGTCCCATCCTCCTCCGTCCTTCCTTACCTCTCCTCTTCTTGCGCTTCTGTGCTGACGTCTTCCGCGGAACAGGCGCACCGAGTCCGTGGCACTGCCGCTTTGCTGGATCACCTCCAGGAGGGCGTTGTTAGATGGTTCGCCGTGGAGAAAACGACACACGTGTTGCAATCTCATCTGCTCGGTAGGTTCGCATCGTGTCGACCAGCGGCGACCCCGCCGCCGGCCTTCAACGTTGAACGCCGCCGGCGTCCCAGAATCGGTCGACGCTGAACGACCTGACATCTCGGAAACGGCCGATCGTTGAAGGTTGAAAGATCTCCGCGGCGTCAGAGACCAACGCCGAAGTCGACACGACACGAGCTTGCCGCAGTGGGTTCGACGACGTGGCCCATCTGCTGTCACACCGCTGCTCCCCGTGCGCCCGTGGCAGTGCAGAGGCGCGGGAGGCAGAGGCCGAGGCTGCCGCGGTGAGGGGCCGCGCAGGGCACCGCGCCGAGCACGTTTCGACGCTGAGCGTGCGGAGACAACGCTACCTAACTGGGCCCTGTCTGAGGCCAGTGGCAGGAGCGAGCGACGCCTCAGGAGTCTTCCCTTGCTCGCTGGTGGTATCCCTCTTCTCCTTCTTCCTCTTTCCTCATCCTCCTCCCCCGCCCACCCCTCTGACGCACGTTATATAATAAGTTGTATCGCCCTTTTTCCGTCCAACCCCGGGCTCCAGCGCTGAGCAGAGTGACGAGTCGATCGGCAGTCTGGCTGTGGCGCCTCCTCCGCCTCTCCAAACAAACAAAGTTTTGACGCTGATCGTACATTCGCTGTATCGGTACGATCGGACTGGGCACGGAAAGAATGGGTACGAAGACCGACAGCAGCTCCTGTTCATTTTGAACAGTTCTCGTTGCTGGTGTCCCCGCGGAAGCTGTCCATTTGAGAGAGAAGGCCAGCTGCCCAACCAGCGGCCGCTCTCGGTTTCGGAAGACACCTCCGAACGCTGGTCAAGGCTGTCGGCCGCGGGTCAGCGGCGCCACAAGTGTCAGCCTTGATGGACCCCTTTTCCACCACCACTGCCATAGGTAGGAGAGGGAGGAGGAGGAGGAGGAGGATGAGGAGGAGGAGGACCTCCTCATCCTCCCTTCTCCCCGTCCTACATGTGGTGGTGGTGGTGGGAAATGGGCCCATAAAGCCTGCCTGGTCCGCCCTCTACAGGGGGAATATTCAAACATAATTTTTGAACAAAGATAGTCTTGACCATTTGGGGGTATGTTTCGACTATCTTTTGCCTTCCGTCCAAAATCCCCCTGTGTGGGGGACAGGCCCGACCTCAATCTATCCGTCCGTATTTCCCGATTCTCGCGCTTTCCAGAGTTGGTTCCGGCGCCGCAGTTGCAGCTGCAGCACAGATCTGCCGGGCGGATCTGCACGGAGGTGCCGCAGAGCGTTTTTTTTGGTAAGGATCTGTCTTCGCGGTCCGCGAGGGGGCCCCCTTGAACCATGAGCCGCGACTCGGTTGCGAGCGAGGGGGAGAGTCGGAGGTTGAGAGACCTCGTACCCTGACACGTCGATTAGTGAATTTGCCGCGTCCGGTTCGCGAGAGGGCGTCGCGGCCGTCATTCTTGCGGGTCCAGGTCCGTCGGTTTCTGTTCTAGGCCGTTTTGACTAAATAATGGTTTATCAAAGGGAGGTTTGTCCACCGCCGAGAGAAGTGAGAAGGAAGAGGCACTCTCAGAAGCCCTCGCGCCTTCTGAGTGTTTTTTTTTTGGTATTCGGCGAAGGCTCAGAACACTTCTCAGAAGGCCACGGGATTTCCGAACCTTCCGAAAAGGCCTTCTCCTTCTCTCTTCCCCTCCCTCGCTCGCCGCCGAAAGACGGCTACGGGGGAAGGTGGAGAGAGGAGGAAGGGGAGCGGCAAGGGGAGGGGAAGGGAGGAGAAGCAGGATGAGTAGGATGGACTCGTCCTCGTCCTCCTGATCCTCCTCATCATGACGATCATCATCATCACCATCATCATCATCATCATCGTCATCATCATCATCACCACCACCATAATCATCATCAGCATGAGAAGCACGCTGGTCTCTTTTACGACAGAGTCGCAGGACTCAAACATCTGGGGACGTGTAGCCTTCGACTGTAATTGCACCTCTGAGGTTTAAACCAGGATTCAACGCGCGTGGTGCACCTTGGCCGTACACCGCCACGTGTTGACAAACCAGAAGGTCTGTCTTAGAAGGCGTGCAACAAGCTCTAGATAGACGTGTACGCTCATAGATGTCTTATGGTACACGCAGCCTCCATATCACAGTTTCGGCCTTACGCCGCATAGACAAATATCATAGCACGATGCTGCGTAGGATGATCCCACCTCCCCGCGCGGACAGTACCACTGAATATTCAAGAACAGCCATGGCACGCGCGCAGGAGACTCGCACCCGTTATGAAATCGAACCCTTGGCCCCTACATGCCGCCGTTTCTCCCATTTCCGGGCGGGTCACCCCCAGCAACAAGCCCATGAGCCGTCCAATTGTGCCGCATACAGAGTCTGTAGACACAGGGGCCGTGTTTGGATGAGCTCTACGCAGCGCCGGTTGGGGCCCCACTTGCAGCCTAAAACGGTCGGCGTCTGGCGACGGGGAAAAGTCATATTTTTTTTCCGGATTCGACTGGTTAGCCCGGCCTTATGTTGGCTTGAATGGCGCTCCAAGTTGAGATGTTCTCTCGACTGTCGCATGGATCTAGTACCACCTTTTGCGGCGTCGGGGCTTGGCGCCACCTCTGTATGATGCCAAGCGAACGAACGAACGAGTCATCATCAACATCATCATCATCATCATCATCATCATCAACATCATCATCATCATCATCATCATCATCATCATCATCATCATTATAATCATTACATCACCACCAGCAGTACTATCACCATCACAATCTCCATCACCACCATCATCATCATCATCAGCAGCAGCAGCAGCATCATCATCACCATCACCAGCACCATCACCATCACCATCAACATCATCAACGCCCTCCTCCTCATCATCATAATCGGCATCGTCATCGTCATCATCATCGTCATGATCATCGGCATCATCAGCAGCATAATCAACAACAACCTCATCATCCTCATGTCCTGCTCCTGGTGCTCCCCTTGGCACTCATCCTCGTCCTCCTTCCCGTCTTCCTCGCCATCCTCGTCATGCACGTCTTCCTCATCTTCGTCCTGCCAGTCGCCCTTCTCTTCTTCCTTCCCGTCGCCCTCTTCGTCCTCTTCTCCTCGTTCTCCTGGCTCCCCCACTGTCGCGCAGGACATCGAGGACGCCGAGTTCCTCCTGCGGCTCGATCCGCCCTGCGAGTACATCTGCGTGTCCTTCGCGCAGAAGGGCCAGGAGGGCGGGCTAGCGGCGAGGGAGCGGGGAGAAGAGGGGTGGGGGCAAAGAGGGGGGAGGGGAGGGAGGGAGGGAGGAGGAGGAGGAAGAAGAAGAAGAGGAGGAGGGAAGAGGAGGAGGGAGGCAGGAAGGAAAGGAGAGAGTCTGAGAGAGGGAGGGGGGGGGGTGGAGGATGGCGGAATGGGGCAAGGATGAGGATGAAGATGATCGGGAGGAGGAGAAGGAGGAGGAGGAGGAGGGACCAGGATGGCAGGACGGGATGGACGGGCGGATCAGGACCTGATGAGGAGGGAGGGAGGAGGCAGAGAATAGAGAGGAGGGAGGGATGATGGCGGCAGGGTGTGGTCGGAGGAAGGAGGCGGCAGGACGCTGAGGTGAGAGGGAGGAGCAGGAGGAGGGTGGGAGAAGGAGGAGGAGGAGGAAGAAGAAGAGGTGGAGGCGGTGGCGGAGGCGGAGGCGGAGGAGGCGGAGGAAGGAGGCAGGAAGGTGAGGGCGGAGTAAGAAGGAGCAGCAGGGCGAATGAGGCAGGAGGAGGGAGAGGAGGAGGGGGAGCTAGAGGAAGAGGAACATGATCAGGAGCAAGAAGAGGACGAGGGAAGAGGAGGAAGGAACAGTGAGGGTGAAGGGTGAAGCAGGAGGAGGGGGAGGAGCCAGTCTTCTCTCTTAGACACAAAGGCCACCCTGCCAAACCAGCAGCAATCGTAATTGCAGTGCACAACCTTTCGTCTTCCTGGGCCCCGTGGGACGGCATCGTATGGCTCCAGCAGCCCCACGAACATGGCCGAAGTTTTGGTCGTGCTATTCCGGAAGGGCACAGGGGTGATTTCAAGATGGTCATCCATGTTTCGAGATTTTAGACGCTCCGCGTGACCCCACCAGCCCATCCAGAAACGATGCCCAGGCGATGTGCTCCGATCAGGGATGTGGAGGAGCGAGCACGCAGTGGGAAAAATCGTTTAGGAAGCCGTCATTCCCCGAGAGGGGGAGGACGGATGAGGAATCGAAGGAGGAGGAGGAGGACGAAGAAGAAAGAAGAAACAGAGGCAGAAGCAGAAGCAGAAGAAGAAGAAGAAACACATAACGACGAAGACGACGACGAAGAAGAAAACGAATAATAATAGTAATAATAACAATAGTAATAACAGTAACAATAGTAACACTAATAACAATAATAATAATACTAGTCATAATAATACTGTGAAGAATAATGATATACATAGTAATAATAAGAAGAAGAATAAGAAGAAGAAGGAGGAGGAGGAGGAGGAGGAGGGGGAGGAGGGGGAGGGGCAAGGGGAGGGCAGGGGGAGTGGAGGAGGGAGGAGGAGGAATAGGCGGATGAGGTCGAGGAGGGGGGAGGAGGAGGGCGAGCAGAAAGGCCCGAGGTCCCTTGGATGTCTCTTCGGATGTCTGTTGAGAGCTTCTTGGAGTCCTCTTGGGGCGTCCTGGAGGTCCCGGGTGCCTCTTGGAGCGTCTTGGGTGCATCGGGGGAGCCTTTTGGAACCTCCTGGGGGTCTCTTTGTTGCCTCTAAGAGCCTCCTGGGCGCCTCTTGGGCCCCTCTTGGTGCACTCTGAGGAACCTCGGGGACCATCTTGGGGCCATCTGGACGAGCTCGATCAAAGAAGGGGGTGTACTTAATTTGCTTTCACGCTGAGGCCTTTTTGAACGCCCCACTGGATCGTGGGGCGCCCCATCCAGGTCCAGGAGGAGGGTGTAGGGGGACAGGAAAAGCCCCACCCCGAAGGGGAATACGGTAGGTTGGAAGAGGAAACTCCCTGACCCACTCATACCCAGAGGGGTGGTGGGACTACCCATAGATGACCCCACAAGCCCACATCAGGGCTCAATATGATTGACCCAAAAGGGGTACAATAGATGTGTGGGGTTGCAATCTATTTGGTGCGTGGAATCGATTCCGGGGCGCAGATCCATTGCTACATTTTTGCGCGCAATGCATTATTGCAATACAATGCAGTATAATTCTCTGCCGAAGTACATTTGCGAAGCCATTGATTTCAGAACATCTACTGCACGACCCCCTTCTGGCTGGAACCCCCTTTTTGGGGTCGGCTAGGCTCCAGAGGACGCCGAGCCTGCCAGCGTCGATTATCCCCCCTGGGTGGCTCCTTGGGAGGCGTCGGGGTTGCTACTGGACCCCGGCTCCCTGCGCTCGCGGTTGCTCCAGGAGGGCAACAACTATTCGCCACGCCCGAGCCAGGAGGGCCCCCCAAAGAGAGCCCCCCTTAGGGCAGCCCCGAAGGGCCCGCCGACGGCCCCCGAGAAGACTCCCAGGGCGGCCCCTCCGGCGCCCCCGGCCATGTACCTCCTCCTCGCAAAAAGCGTGCCGGGCATTGTTCCTCCTGCCTCGCAGAAGGCGTACCCGGCCATGCCTCCTCCTCCTCGCAAAAAAAACAGTCCTCGCAAAAAGCGTACCTCTTCCTCCCGGCCATACCTCCTCCTCGCACCACCTGACATGTTTGTAAAGCGTGCCGGGCGCTCTTCCTGATACTCCGTCACTATGCATGGCCTGGAAGTTTGTCATTTAAGGTTGGTGCACGTGTGGAGGTCGGGAGGCTTTCATCATGTGGCTCTTGGGTGAGCGCCGCGCACCTTCGTTCGACATGGGGTCGGGCCGTTTCCCAACTTTGATTCAGTCATCCTTGGTATAAGCCGATTTTCTTGTGCACCAGTTGCATTGATGGCGGGCGGGTCGTTAGGAGGTGCCTCCTTTTCAGAGCAAGTGTCTCGTATCATGTTCAAGATTTAGCGCAGTTTCTTTACTAGAGGAGTTGATGGAGGATCCTTGCAGATTCATGAATTATGCAATCTGGGGTCGCTCCTATCTTGCCCTGTCGTCGTCGTCGCTCTCCCCCTCCTTATCCCCAGTTCTGCCATCCCCCTCTTCCTGAATCCCCGTCCTCCTCCTCCTCATCCACCCTCCTGTATCGTCCTCGTCCTACTCCTAGTGGTACCTCATCAACCCCCTCGTCTTCGTCGTCCTCCTCCTCCTCCTCCTCCTCCTCCTCCTCCTCCTCTCTCCTCCTCCTCCTCCTCCTCTCTCCTCCTCGTCCTCCTCCTCCTCCTCCTGCTCCTGCTCCTCCTCCTCCTCGTCCTCGTCCTCCTCCTCCTCCTCCTCCTCCTGCTCCTGCTCCTCCTCCTGCTCCTGCTCCTGCTCCTTCTCTGCCCTCCTCCTCCTCCTCCTGCTCCTGCTCCTCCTCCTCCTCCTCCTCCTCCTCCTCCTCCTCCTCCTCCTCTCTCGTTGGCGCTTCGCCTCGCAGCCGTCGCCCCGCTGTTTGTGGAGAGCGCGCTGGCTGGCGGGCGGTGGGGGGGGAGGCAGCGGTGGGCGGCCGAAACCGCTTCGCCGCCTCTCGCGGAGGCGCAGACGTGCACTCAGACAGGCGCATGGAGTACAGCCGGACCGAGGCATGAGATCGAGGTCGGTTCGGGGAGGGCCCCCTCATGTTCTTCGTGCTTGTTGGCCCTTCCTGTGCACCCTGGGGAGGGTGCCCTTGGATGTGGTGTTTGTGCTGGCCGGCGGAGGGTCTCATGTTCTTGGTTCGACTGTACCAGCGCATACACTGATGACCGAGCGCATTCCACCACTCGCAAAACGCCCACTTGCACACGTTCGAGAAGCGCACGTCCGCCTCCATGTAATGGATCGTATACCCCTTCGGCGGATCCAGGCCATTTGCGAGCACTTACTTTGCGAGTAGTGGAACGTTCATGTCTAACTGAAAGGCGCACGGATCGGTGACGGGTCCCGTTTCCATGTGAAATCGGTGCGTTCCGTCGCCAAGTCAGGCGGCATTGGCCCCATGCTTCGGGTGGTACTTTCATTGATCCGTGTATCGGGCGCCCGCGCGCCAGGTCCAGGAATGCTTGATCCATGGCAGCAGTGTGCCCAAGCTTTGCAGGCAGGGTGGTTTCCCTGCACCCCACCCCCCACTCACGTGGTGGTCGTGCAGTGCGGGAGTGCCGTTCCATCCTCGAGTTCCCGTGAGGTCGCCCTGTCGTGCGTCGCCCCCCCCCTATCTGGGGGATCTTGTTCCGATTTACGATTGCTACTACTACTACTACTACTACTACTACTACTACTACTACTACTACTACTACTACTACTACTACTACTACTACTACTACTACTACTACTACTACTACTACTACTACTACTACTACTACTACTACTACTACTACTACTACTACTACTACTACTACTACTACTACTACTACTACTACTACTACTACTACTACTACTACTACTACTACTACTACTACTACTACTACTACTACTACTACTACTACTACTACTACTACATTAACCTTCGTCTCGGCCCTTCGATTTGAACTTCCAGGCCTCCCCGCCCCCTCATCCCGCCACGTGGTGACCGCGGAGTGACGTCCCGTGCCCGAGTTCTTGTGAATTCGCCGCTATTGCATTGCACTCCCCTGTTCTTCTTATTGTCAGTTGATTCCTCTGCCCTTCTTGGGACTTCCAGGCCTCCCAGTATGTTAGGACGCAACTCATGGGAGGTTTAATTCACCATCGGCGCTTGTATATCCGTGGTCGACAATCGCCCAAATCCTGCACACGCTCGCTCAATCCTTCCCGATTTCGTGTCCTGCCGTTCTTTCCCAGGTTTCATTTGTTTTATGTTGGCCTAGTTCAGACGAGCACGAGGTCATGATAATCATACGTCTCAAGATTTCCAAGCTTCCCAAGATTTCCCAGATGTCCTGATGGTCCCCACGGGTTGCAGAAACGAGGGCCGGTAGGTACTCTGGAGCTCCTGGAACGAACCTTGAGCCAGTCCTGTCGCGACGTCCTTCTCGTCCTGCTCGTGGCCCCTTGCTCGGGCTCAGCAGCTCCCGCCCGTTCTTGCGAAGACCTCCCAGGAGCTGCTTCCCGTCCGTGTGCCGCGCGTGCTCTCGGCGCGGGGAGCCCCGCGCGGACAATCAGGCTAAGGACGCACACGCAGATGAATCCACGTTGGTTTCG